GGCATCCTATGACAGTTCCACGCTGGAATTCACTGAGCTCCTGAGAGCGGCCCATTCTTTCACAAATGTTTGTAAAAACAGTCTGCATGCCTAAGTGCTTGATTTTATACACCTGTGGCCAGGCCAAGTGATTAGGACACCTGATTCTGATCATTTGGATGGGTGACCGAATACTTTTGGTAATATAGTGTATGTCTATTATTGTATGGGGTGCCAATAATAATTTTGCCATGTTTTTGAGAGAAAATTAAATTTGGAACATTTGTATGTTTCTCTACGTGCTTGAATATTTAAAATTATTGCATGTAATGTATATATTTTTTTGCCCATTCTCTTGAAGGGTGCTTGTAAGTTTGGAATAGAGTGTACATTATTAAATGCCCTAATTCTAGGTCCTTTTTTCCACTCTTTTGTGCAATCTTTTTGCCTTGACTCACAAACCTAGTAACTGGCACTGGGCAAGCTCAGTTGGTAGAACATGAGACTCTTAATCATCAAGGGTTGTGGGTTTAAGCCCCACTCTCAGTGCCAGTCCCAAGCCCAGATAAAATGGGAGGGCTACGTCAGGAAGGGCATCCAGCGTAAAATCTGTGCCAAATCAAATATGCAGATCATAAACCAGATTTCCATAATGGATACGGACGATCCGCTGTGGTGACCCCTAACGGGAGCAGAACAACAACTCACAAACCTATTAACTGCATTGAATGATCTGCTAGTAAACCACATATAATGCGCCCAAATGACTTGGACAGTCTCTAGCTCTCAGAAATAAATTTCACTAAGAGATTGTATTCTGATGCATTAAGCACATGTCAGAATTGAAACTCTAGCCATTTTTGCTTCCGTATTAGGAGCTGCAGGAGCCTGAATGGTCCTAAACTAAAGCTCCGGCGGATTAGAAATTTATGAGCTTTTCTCTGTGGGTGGGTTTGGCCCTGCTGCCAGCTTGAGCTAAAGCAGTGGGTGCAAGGATGACTTGAATAAACCAAGCACAGTCTGTGCAGTATTCATTTACTTAATGAGTGTATAAACTGTCACAAGCTGACCACCAACACTCAGTGTGGCTGTGTGTGTTCTTTCCTCACAGGTTTTTACTTCTGTAGTTATACTACAGGTTACTCCTAACCTAACCATTGTAACACAACCTTTCTAAAGTAGCACACCTAATCCAGCTTGTTATGGTATTCAGGTACATCTAAAAACCCAATGCTTTTGTTTAGTTTGTGCTCAGAACTGGATTAAGTTTGGAATGAGAATCTTTACTAACAGATTTGCACTCATATGGTTAGTGGGCAGTCACAGTATATGTCATTAACTAAAGCTTTTACATCACACTATGTGACGTTTATAATCCTTGTGTGAAAAAAAAATCTGGTCATTATACTTTCTGACTGTCTTTGATACTCATGCTCCTGCCTCAACTCAGTACCTCTGTCTTCCACTGAGAAGCTGCACTGTAGCCGTGAATACCTGTCTGCTATTTGGTATTTACCTTTCTCACGCTGCCAGTTTTAATTGGCTATTGATGTGGTTGTTCAATTCGTTAATGCATTCTATGAGTTCTAGCAGTCCAGTAAAACGAAATGAAACATGTTTACTTCTACCTGCAAGTGGCCCTATTTGAAGTACTCTTGTCTTATCTGAATTAAGTAGAAGGAAGTTACTCAGAATCCAGTGTCTGTTGTCACATTTTAACTCAATATTAATAAACTGATATCTGCCATCTGGTTTTGCCGAAACATATAGCTGTTTGCAATCAGCATAGTGACGGACGCTAGTACCATGTTTAAAAAATAATTTTACACAGAGGTAGCATATAAAGGGAAGAAAGAAGTGGGCCTAGAACAGAGCCTTGTGGAACACCAAACGTTGTGATGCCTATGCAAGAATAAGCTTAGTGTTTGGTGTTGGCTTTTAAAGAAATGGTTAAATCACTGCTAGTTTAAAAGATATAGATACATAGCCTATGCTAAGCCATGACTGCTACAGACTGTTGGTGTTTGAGCTTCAGCTAGTTACCTTCTGCCACTGTACCAAATAAAAAATCTGAAATAATTTTTGTTGTCTTCTATTAGGGTGGAGAGATAAGGCATTTCTGTATTTAAGAAGCCTCTTCTTCTATGCAGTTTGGAAGTCTACCAGTTTAGTTTGACATCATTTACATTTTAACTTTGGAGTGGTGTGAGTGGGATCATTTACCCTGGTGCAAACGTTTCTCCCATAGTATTTTTCTTTTCACTGGGGCAACATTATCTGTGAATTATGAAGCGAAACATTGGCTATGTTTACATGCACATCAATATTCTGATATCGATCATAATTTGGCAATATTCTAATTAGTATCGAGTTATGTAAATACCGCGAGCCGATTGCCCGATTCAGATTAAGACAATATTCTGATTCCTCAAATTCTGATTCCCACAACTGTAATATTCCTGTTTTAATCGGAAATTTGTTGCATATAGTCACCTTATTCAGAAAATCCAGTAAAAGTAGCCATTGACTCTAAGGAATCAGTCACTCTATCGACTTCTGTGGACCACACATGCAGCCTGATTACGAATTGTGGCTATCAAGTTAAAAGTCATGGATTGATGAGTTTATATTAATACACATATCTGCTCCATCAGGGTGGAGAAACCGTGTCCCAAAGGCTGGTGGGGAAGTCCCATGTGTGGCCCCTGCAACTGTGACGTCAGCAAAGGCTTTAACCCGGACTGCAACAAGACCACTGGAGAGTGTCGCTGCAAGGTACACACATCTCACCACATGCTAACAGGGCTCAAAACCAACTACCTATATTTTTAAATACTCTTTCACAATGTATTTTAGACTGTGATTTTTGTTTTCAGGACATAATTTTGTAGCTGTCCGGTTGTGAAAATTGTACAGTTGTACCTCTGTGTATATGAAGTGTTTTCATTTCACTACTTTCCTCACAGGATAACTACTACCGCCCCAAAGACAGTGACACCTGTTACCCATGTGACTGCTTCTTCCCTGGAGCTAGCTCCCGAACCTGTGACCCGCAGACCGGCCAGTGCCCGTGCAAGGCTGGTGTGATTGGGCGACAGTGCAACCGATGTGATAACCCCTTTGCAGAAGTGACCAACACAGGCTGTGAGGGTGTGTACTTACAACATGGCTCTTTATCTCTTTTCACCTGCAGTAATTCAAAATAATGAAAGCTTATCTATAATTCAGTATCTATCATCGGTGTATCAGCTTACTGCTGGTGTCAGAACATGATATTTTATAGCATTTAATACCGCCGAGCTTAAAATGGAAAGCTAATTAAAAGTTCATGTAAACAGGTTACTTATATTACATTTGGACGGTGCTTATAGATTATTTAAACACCATTTTAGTCTCAGTTATTAGCTTCATAAAGAAATCATCTTTGTTTTAATGATTCGTACATAATAACTGCCATGTAATGTCGTGTAATAGGATCACCACAGTAATAAGCAATTAAATGAACGAAGCTTAGATGTGGCAAACTGCATTTATGTGAATGTGAAAGGTTCACTGTCTCTTTGTCCTGTGTCTGTACTGCAGTTGTTTACGATGGCTGCCCCAAGGCCTTCGATGCTGGAATCTGGTGGCCAAGAACCAATTTTGGCCGTCCAGTTGCTATGAACTGTCCCAAGGGATCTACTGGTGAGTGCTGCAGGCTTGTTCTGCAAGAATCAGGGTGTTGGATTATCAAAATCCACTTTCACACACGCATGCTGGCACTTTTATGACACATATACATATACACAAGGGCTGTCAGAACAAAATCCACTGTTCTACACTGCCCTCCAAAAGTTTGGAAACGCCTGAACAAAATAGGGTTTTTGGGCAATATCAGCATAAATCCTCTTTAGTTAGTGACCATTTTGCATTGATAATAAGGGACAACACAAACTATGAAAACATATTTTATTAAATAAAAAGTTTATGAACATAAACATGAACATAACATAGAAAAATACTCAAATTTTGG